TTCTTACTGAATGATGATTGCATGATGAATGACTGTCATGACGAAAACAGCACCCTTTCTAATGCACAAAACGAGGAGTCTCTCATCACATTCACATGACCAGAGGCAGAGGCAAATGTTGCATGCACACATAATACGTACTCTAAATTGAAACAGCTGAGCCCAGAGTATGGAAAGCTATATGCCAATCGATAGATATTTTAACGTCTTCAATTTCCAATTTCATAATTTCCTCTTTTTGCACAGATATCAAATAGACTTAATAATAAATTTATATGCGCATACACAGCAGTAAAAAATACAACATAATTAAACTACCGTCACAAAAAAAAAACTCACAACAAAATGGTTTTAAAAAAATATAGTAAAACAATATATATAATAAAGAAAATGATAATAATAATGATTGATGAAAAGACCAAAAAAACACAAAAAAACACAACTGTCATGATTATATTTAGAGGAAGAACGTAGATTCAAACAAGATTCTCCCCGGAGAAGCATAAACTAATAAGTAAATAATAAATAACAGGAGAAAAGAGAGAGCGAGAGAGAGAGCTATATAGAGGCCCGGGAAGAGAGAGACGAGGGGTATAGAAAGAAAAGAGATCAGTTTTTAAGAATAGATAGTTATAGGAATAGTTAGTTGCATCACCATTAATAGCATAACTATGAATATGTTCATGAATTCGAGTACAGCCAAAGAAAACTTGCACTCTCTCTCATAATTTTTTTTTTAATCACTTCACAAACTTCTTCAGATATTTCACATACTTTTCTCAACACTTGATTGAAAGAAAGAAAGTTCATGTCCAATTCTCTGAATATTAAATGTATTCGTAGGAGATAAATATTTATTCATATAATTTACAATGTGATAAAGATTACATTTCTTGATATAACATCGTTTCTGTCTATAATAATAAATACTGGTGAATTTCAGCATAGCTGTATAAATATAATGACGATGAATAAAATATACGTCAAATTACATTTCAAAAGTTTGCACATGAATTAGACTTGTATTGTATACATAACATATGAAGATCTGCAACATGGAATTATTGATTTTTGTTTTCTTTCTGCATCTCCAATTCACACTTCAGATAATCAAGTTTCCAACGACAATGGAAGAAGTCAACAGAGCCCAAGTGGATTTCTTCAACATATCAGGCTTTCCCCAGGTCATAGGAGTGGTCGACGGAACACACATTAGACTAAATGGAGCTCCCTTGGGCCCTGGTGAGCACGTCTATATGAACAGATAAAAGGATATTACTCCATCAACACCCAAATAATTTGTGATACCAATTACAAGATCATAAACATTTTGGCACGCTGGCCAGGCAGCACTCACGACAGCAGGATATTTCAGGTAAATCCATAATATTTTGATTCTAAAATTTCCTATGTAACCCACTTTTGTTTTTAATGCCTCCATGAAAACATATATTGACATACATGTAAATCATTGAAATTGATGTCAAATGTTTGTTACAAATGCTACAAAATAATTGTGAAGCTAAGATCTTACAATTTTTGATAATTTTTCAAAATGTGTATATGCAAGAGAATGCAATAAATATCAAAGGTCAAGGGGCACCTATTCTACCATATTATGTTCATTCTTATAATGATTCTTCCTTTATACAGAACAGCAGAGTTGGACAGACTTTTGAAGATCTACAACAGCATGGTCTACTTCTTGGAGATTCGGGTTACGCTTTAAGACCATACCTGATGACACCAGTGCTAAATCCAAGGACTCCTGCAGAACAGGCTTACAATAGGTATGTACTACAAGAAACATTTCAATGCATATTTGTATCTACAATTAAAAAAGAAAGTGAATGAATGTATGCCATTTTAGACATCAAAGCAATACCATGATGTCAATTTGCCAATCACATCTCTTAATTAGCAGGATGAGTGTTCATGAATACCATTTGGCCCAGAAGAGCTACAGGTAAAAAAGAAAATTACTCATATATGTGACTTACTTCCTTTTGACAATGTATAGGTTAGATGTATAGCACTGTAGTTAGATGTACATGTATTTTCATAGTCTAATAGACTTCCCAATAATTCTTTGTTTTTAATTTGTTATACTTCAATTCCTTTACTCTGCAGAGCACATGCTACAACGAGAGTGAGAATCGAACAAGTCAACGGCCAACTAAAGCACAAATTCAGGTGCTTACTGAATGGTATGCAAATGGCACCCAGAAGAGCGTGCAAGATCATCACTGCATGCGCCGTATTGCACAATGTGGCTAGATTTGAAGCAGCCTGATGAAGTAGACTTTGGTATTGAACAACATGAACACGAACCAGACAGGGACGACCACATTGTAGACAACGGCTTAGCCATCAGAAACACTATTATTGCCAATTATTTCCACTAGATTTTTATGATGAAGACTTCTATATACTGTAACCAAGAATCTTTTTCAACATTCACTGTCACTGACCTTATTGTTTATCTATATTTTATATCATTCAAACATACTTATTTTTAGGGTGGACTTCCCCTGCTTTAAAACACCATTTTGGGTCATCTATAAGTTGACACATAAATTCTTTTTATTACTGCACTATTTAGTTGTGACAATATTGTTGAAGTATACTTGTACTATATAACTCAAGTGGTAGTAATCTTCTGTTTGCATTGAGAATCTTAATCAATTCAGTACTGCATTCAACCGGGGGGGGGGGGGGGGGGGATTAATTGCTAAGGTAGCACCAAGCCAAAATTCAAATTTCACGGAATCGCCGGGCTAGGGCATGTTCTGCTGACCTGCCAATAGTCATATTGTTTTATAAATTTGTATATGAATGTGACATCATATTCAAGGCCCTCTTTCAATGAAGTGTGTAAGATATCCTTAAGATTGGCCTCATAACATTGTTATCTTTAGATGCAGTTAATTTACAGTATATAATATATGGGAAGAGTTTATCTCCTGAATTTGTAATTTGTTCTATTCAGAAGCAGGCCACATATTTAATCCAAACCTGACTGGGGGGGGGGGGGGGGGGGGGGGGGGGGGGGGAGTCCCGTGGAACGCTCATGCATAGTCAATTCATTTTTAATAACGACATATTCATATTAGATTTCTGGGAAACCTAATTTCCTTAGTTCCAAAATGCACAATGATATAATCTTTTTGAATACTGAAAGGTAAAGTTATCATGAATAAGAACAAAATTAACATGGAATTTGCAAAACAAACAAAGTAACAATTTAAAACCTCTTTTTGATTAAAGACAAATAATTCGAAAACGTGAAGCGCACGCTTCATGACTAATAACTTTTCCTCCTCTATCTCCAAAAGTCTCTCTTCATAACAGCTGATTGGCTTTTTGGTGTCTTTGGCCGTGCTATCCCCTACTAGAACAGGCTGGTCTATTGGTGGTCCGGCACTGCTGGCTGCACTAGTACTGGTCTGTGGGTCCCGGGCCGGCACAGATATGCCACCCACCATGGTGTTAACCATCATGGCCACAGCCATGGCATTTTCTGCTGTCTGTATGCATATAACAATAAAGATTGCCTTGATTGAGTTTTAAAGAACTATAGAACCATACTGTCTAAATGTTGTTATTATTATTTTATTTATTAAAATTCTGTGATAAAAAGAGAACAATGTCAGTAAGGGTTTTATCTAATCATCAATATGTTTGAAAAAAAGGTTTAAAACACCCCCCTAAAAAAATATTTAAAAAATGTAAGAAAAAAAAATTGTTGTACCGTACACCATCAGTGAGGATTTTGTTTTTGTTAAACAAAAAAATTACCATATACCCGTATTGAAAATGCCTCACATAAAAATACATGCCACATTTGAATCTCATGTTCAATGGGATAAATTTTTCAAATAGAGTTAGGGGGGTAGGGTGGTCAACATAACATTGACACTTTGAAGGTCGTCAACTAAATTAAGTAATATAGTGGTAAGCATTTCAATACCATCTACAATTCAAGATAAACCCTGATTAGGCCTGGGTATTTTTGAAGTTCTCAGAGTTAGGGAAAGGGCTCCCCCGCCCCCTTCCCTGAGATTTCGGCCAGCGATGCAGACATATCGTGCAAAGTGTTGAGGAGGGGGGTGGGGGTACTTGTTTCCCCCCCCCCCCCCCCCTTGGCTCAGTTAGGGTTAAACCAAAGATGTACATATTCACAAGTCATGTATATTTTTATGTTTGTTTGTACTCTCATACCCAGAGAGGGGGTCAATCAAATTCTACAAATTTTACCTGTGGCATTTGGCTCGAAGGGAGAGCTACATGTAGGTATCCAGCCTCCTCTTCTGGCCCCAGAATGCCCTCCACACTCTCCTCCACCATTGCCTCCAGTACTGCCTCGTGCTTCTCATTATATTCCACTGGTGGTCCACCTCCTAATGATCCAAAGTCAAAGAAATAAATGTTAACTTCTTACCATAAATTTTACGAAATGTTAATATCGATCGTACAGTTAAAGAGAGATCTTGGATTAGGTCGTGATGGTTAATAATCTACACCAAATAAGTGTAAGTTGTGATTTGCGGTTTAGTGGTGGTTATTTTACCCGACTGCTAAAAAGCACGAGTGCTTATTAGTAACCGACGACTTTAGGTCCTATCTAAGGGACCTTGGTAATGAGGAATAATGCCTTAATACCAAAGGACACTAGTGCATCGACGACATGGTTTCGAACCTAGGTCGTCGGATTATGAGACCACCAATCTACCAACCAAGTCTCCTGATAATAATAAACCCCTTTACTAATTCAATACTCTTCTTGACAGGCTACTCTAGAGTATTCTTTATTGAAATAGGATATACCATGCAAAACATGCTATCTTTTTAAAGAGAAATAAAAAAAAAAAAAGCCTAGCATTCAAACACTAGGCTGTTGTCCTAAGTCATGAATGTTGATATGATATATTAAAGATAATTTTTTAATGCATGTACAATTTATGATGACCTATGGTGGTACAGCAGATGGAATCCCACCATTTTAAAAACTTGTTTTTTTATTGCACAAATGCTTTCTTACTTTTTAACTTTTCCAAAGCACAGGTAACTATTGGTGATAAATTACATGTGGTAGGAGTATACAAGAAAGGTACCTTTTACAGTTTTATCTGTTACACAATAAAGACAGCTTAATTTACCTGTCTTGTTCTTTGAGTCCCTGTACTTTCAAGCCTTTGCCGCCATTTCGTTCCAGGTAAGACGCAAGTCCTTTACTGTTCTACCTGGTTGGAGTCCCTGGGCCTCTAGGGATACGAGCCCTAGGGCCCATGCATCCTCTTTTCGTTTTTTGATCTACAAAAATTCAAGAACAAAAAGTACAATGTAAATTGGAACCTACTCAAGTTCTCTTTAATTATATGCAATAGATGATTAACATATTAATTCACCCTTACTTATTTTGAAAGAATACTCTCATATGGTAGCATCCAACCGTCTCCAAAGACAGTGGACTGCATTCTGTCTTGGGCATCAGAAAAAATGAAAACCAAAACATCATTTTCGGTATACTTATTAGAAGAAAAGTTGAAAGAAGGAAAAATAAAAATAAGTTAGATAAAAAGACTCTTTATTCAAATTCGAAATCATAGTTATGTTCTGGAAATTTTAATAAATAGATCTGCATTGGATTTTACAAACCTTTTCCACACAGTTCCCCGCTTTGCCGAACAAAGCTTGGCGGTTCTTTTTTACGTAGTCTGCCAGGCAGCGGACATCCCGACCTGTCAAGTTCGGCCTGCGTTTCACCATTTCCTAGAATGAAGAAACAAAATTAAAAAACTAATGAGAAACCAGAAAGATTGTTTAAAATGAGTTCTGTTAAATCAAATTTGACGGTATCAAACCCTTTTAAACACAAGATTGTTGTTTGGTTTTGATACTCGATCAGTATATCATTATATTTCATGCCCCTGCCAATCGCCGGCCCAATCGCCGGCCCAATCCCTCAGCTCTCACACTTGACATGCACACACTGTGACACTAGACATAGTCTAGGGTCTATACTATTTTAAGTAGTATCTGATTATAGATCTACTACTAGTCTGAAGCTGAATAAAGTTGAAATTCTAATTGAGAGTCTATATAATTATAGACTAGAAATTGGAATGAAGTTGAAATTCTAATCGACTTAGACTAGACTAGGCGAGAGTCTTACTCTTAATTTTATCTAGATATTCTAATTGAGAGTCTAGTATTTTACATTTTTAGAATGATATTATGAGGTAATTGCAAGTTGTTTACCCTTAAACAACTTTAAATCATCGGGTATTGTAGAGAAACGAATGTTCAAAACACCACCCACTCTAGTCATGCTAGTAGTGGAATGTCAGATTATGCTACCCAGCTCCTCCGGGGAGCTCAGTACTCTAGTCCCCGCTGGCTTCTGAAAGCACGTACGGCTGCGGAGACTGACGTAAACATTACAATTAAACCCCAGTACGATGGCAAATACTGTCTGAGTAAAGGCTGCAAATTTATTGCCAGTACTAATACATTTATCAATATGTATAGCAGAATGAATATACTCTTTCGATTAACACATAAAAATGATCAAAGTCAAGAAATACGTACGATTGACGATAATTGTAGATTAGCAGCAGCCGTCTTCGGTGTTTATCTCAGTGGCTATATCTAGCAGACGACGGGTATTGCGCATGCGCTTAAATTTCTGGCTCGTCCAAGAAGACCATTCGCGGGTTTTTCTTATATTAGTTAATATCGGTTTTATGCAACGGATATTAAGCTCCGATGGTAGTTACCATTGATGGTAACTACCATAATAGTAACTCGGGGAGTTACTATTATGGTAAGTCAAAAGTTTTATAATACGGGGCCCAGGAAGAGGAAATCATTTTCAATTATCACACTTACCTTCCGTCTTTTCGACCTGCCCTCTGCTTGCAGCGTCTCGGTGCAGAGATCGACACAGTCCTCGAAGCTTATCTGTTGCTCGTCTTCGGGGCTGTAGTCGAGGTCGGCGAGCTTGGCCAGGGCCAGGATGTAACTGCATGCGATCCGGAGTATGGCCAGCTTCGAGAGTTTTTGGTTGTGCGAGTACGATGGTACTGCTCGACGAAGACCCTCGAAGGCAGAGCTGATCGTGTGGACTCGATTACGCTCTCGAGCGTTCGCGACGATCCTCCGCGAACGACTCAAGTTCTTGTACGACCTCCCGGGTTTACCCATCGCCTTCGACGATTGCGAAGTCGACGATGACGATGAAGTCGATGTCGATGGAGATGTTTTCCCGTTTGTTTCTTTTTGGTCACCACACATGAGATCCTGAGAATCGCACTCCTGTTCGAGAAGAACTTTGTGTTGGTGGGCGATCGCGAATGGCAGAGATGTGGAATATTCACGGTGGTGGTCGTTGACTTGGGAATGTGAGTCGTGATGGTCGTCGTCGTAATCGTGTCTGTATTTCATTAAGTAATCTCTCTCGAGTCCAACGAGGCCGAGGCTTTCTTCCGCCTGTAAATCATGAGAAAATGCTCTAAAAAGATGAGACGAGTTCTGAGATGTATGCGAATGGGTTGATGAGTTTACAGAATTATTTCTTCCTAGGTCCCTTGATTTAGTTCCCTTGGTTGGTCTGACAACCGACGGTATTGCAAGGACGACACGCTTATGATCACGCTTTTTACTGCTCATGCTAAGATCTTCAGGTTGACAGTCCTCGTCATTGACGACGGTTCTCTGTAAAACATCCCTCCGATCTCGATCTTGGATAAGAATACGTGATTGATCGTGCATCAGGGATTTTCCCAAATGTTCCAAACTCGAAGGAGTGTCAGGAATTGGCGCGAGTGCATTGGTCCTGACTTTGAGAAAGACATCGTCGTCGTCGTCGAAATGGTCTTCCGGATCTTTCCCATGACTATCGCTATCACCGTGGTCTATGATTTCGGATTTAATCTCCACCAGATCCACTTCCATTTTCACCATCTCGCTGCCGACGCGACGGGGATCACTTTGCTTTCGACGACTTCTGCGGCTGTTCGAACCAGCGCCACTCGACGGCCCCGCCCCTTTGCTCGTCGTCGCCCCTGTACAGGTACTGCTAGGAAGAATCTGGTCTGATTCCGATTCATTCTTCTCAGAGCATTCCTTTTTCGTCGTTTCTTGATCCATGTCGCGATCATTCTCGTCCTCGTTCTCTGCCATATCTACCACTGCTGAGCTGCAATTACACGACTAAGGTTCCACGAGTTCCGCATTCTTGAGTTTGAGCCCACCTGGTCAAAAATGCTAATTGCGTGTAATGACGTCCAGAGACATAAGTGAGCCTGCGAAGATTATACCATACACACGAAACACCGATGCACCAAGAATAGAGTCTTCGCTATGTGTAGGCAAAAGGGCGTCTGGAAGCCAAATCACAGCACATCGCAAGCTGGCCGACTTGTGTTGTGTTGTTATCACCTTTACAATGAGTAAACTGATCGTTGTAAGAAAGCTGAACAAATAACACTCGGAGCGGAGCTGGCTTTAGATATAGCTGGACAGTCAGCGGGGAGAATAAAGGCAAGACGAGGTCTCAAGCACGCACGCAAATCAACACTCCTTAGCAAAGGCCCCTTTGCCTCCCTCTCTTTCATTCCCTCTCTTTCTTTCTCTCTCCCTCCCTCTCCCTCTCTCTCTCCCTGCCCAGATGTTCCGTGTCAGTGGCTTGCTTGTTGCATGCAAATCACGCATAATATGCACGGAGGTAATCAATACACCGATTGTTATCAGGCGCGGTGGAGCTCAGCTGGGTCCGAAGTCTTCTCTCCGCTTTACCCTTTTCCGACCCAGTCGGGGTTCTTGGCCGCAATACTGGAGGGGTCCTGAAGGGGGATCCTCCCGCTCCAAAGAGGTCATTCACTACCCCCTTTCCACCACCACCTTTTCTTACACGAGACGGCGAGAGTTCATTACTGGAATTTCGACGAATTCATCACGGAAGATAATAGTCATCTGCGATGAATCACTAGACATTGACTCCTTGACTTGTCTTGATACATTCCTTCGTTATTGCAAGTTTGCAACATTGTTGTAAATATAATATCGCGTTGACATAATAATTATTTGTCTTTAAATCATTGTTGACGTCTCACAGAGTCACAGTCACAGTTCAAGTGGTTCGAAGTCTTTGATTACTTAGCGTTTAAAATCCACTGCTACAGCAATGAAGTCCTCAATATCACTAAGTTAAAATTGTCTCGAAATCTAGAACGGGTCAAAGGAGTATATACAGTCACGTACGCTTATCAAAGATGAATTTAAAAACAAAAATTTGATTCTCCCTGATCAACCAAGCACCGGGTCAAATTCTGAAGCGATGTCGGCATAAGCACGACGACCAGGACTTCATTTGAGGACGTAAATGAGTACAACTGGCCAGCCAGTGTTGTTAATGTTAACCGTCGATCAGCAAACGAAACTGATCACTGATTATTATATACTCCAGTCCCCCTGGCTCTTGATACGAGGTCGCCACAGCCACAGTCGACGCCAGATGTCAAACGACCCAAAGCCCGACACTCCGCTGGTTCATTACCGTACTTCATGTGGAGAGAGGGAGGGAGAGGGGGTGGAAACGAGAGAGAATGAGCGACAGATACTAGAGAAGATGAAAAAGCAAGAGAGAGAGACAGACAGACACACACAGCGATAGAGAGAGAGAGAGAGAGAGAGAGGGAGTGGGGGCATAAATGCGAAAGATAACAGGTTATCATTTTTATGTTGATCGTTGATTACCAAAGCGCTGGCTGGCTCGCTTATCATCTCACCCCGAGTTAATCTTGTGCTCTTTTACCATTACCCGTTACAGCTTTGTACATTAGATAACGACGAAATCACTTTATCAGGATCTCTACCCAGCTGTGTACCGAGTGTGTATATGCATCCCATATGATCATTGTGTAATCTTTTCTTCGACGTATAATTTGAGTTCGAGTGTGTATGTCCACTCTGGAGGTACACATCTATTTGTTTCCATCCCCCTTTTGATAATGACTTGTGCTTGTGATAATATTCGCTCTCAGCGAATGATCCGAGGATACATGAATAGTCTCAGACCCGGGTCTGATTTTGTTAATGAGCTTCATCAAGCAAGCTAATAATTCTCAAAGTCATTAATTTAATGTAATACGCATATATAACGATAAGCTTAGAAACCCGACATTTTTCTTCTTTAAAAATTCAAAATTAATGATTGAAAAGAGGGTGAGAGAGAATACTGTGCTAGACAAACAAACATGATACTGCTATTACTAATAAACATGCTATTCCAATGACAGCATTTTAGTCTAAACTCCTATAAATCGTAAAAATACTGCCTTTCTGTGCTTTCTATACTATCCACGACTGACAAATAAACCAATCATGAGCCATAAGACCTCAACGTGGCTGAATGCGCAGACTAGTCAGATTCTACTTTGGACACCTGTGCATAAGCAATCAACTCGTTCGCTTTGTGACAACAGTCAACAATAGACCCGTTCGTGATGAGGACAGTAATAAACACAGTCGAAAATCGCTCGCCCGCTCGCTTGCTCGGGGGGCTTACGAGCGAGCAAGCACGGAGAGAGCAAATAATAATCGCCCATGCCAGCCGGTCGTTTGGTGAGCGTTGCCCCGGTAACGGCTGAATGTGTGATTTCCCCTTATTTTGTCTTCTTCTTCGTTCCAAGATCTCTCACCAGGCTCTTCAATAGTTATTGGAAACGGTTGTTATTGTCAAAGCGTACTACGTCTAATTATAATATTTCACATAAAACTATCATTTTTAATATACTGCTCGAGATACTATATTCGAAATGAAGACCTGATAGAGATTTAGAGTTATGGTTGAATCCAATTGTTGAACAATAAGATCACAAAGATCGCAAAATCAATCTAAGTGTACTCCATTGATTTATGACATTCGTAATCCGAACACGGTTTCTACAGGCAATAACACAGTGTATTGAAATAACCCTGAAAATGATTTCTTGAAAGTCTTCGCGATCATATCTATCAATTATCACTATACTAGCTTCTGAAACATATTGAATAAACTTATCCAGTCTACCACTATGACCAGTCCCTGTATATCATACGGTATCATACCACATTTACTTGTAAAAGGAAAAAATAGGCCTACATTTTTTCTGAATCAATCTATTTTTTCCCTGGTGTAGACCTACTGAAGGGTGTAGTTCTTGTTAGAACATACCCAACGAAGGCCTTTACCCTCGATACTTCGATTAGAAATAAGATGTAATAATGCATTGCTCAGTGTTCGTTTGTTTATTTATCAATGAGTTTGGCTGCTTTTTGGCGTATATCGACTACATTATAATAATAGCCAAAACAACGGCGTATGAAATGATGGGGCGAAATATTTATAATCGTATAGTCAATATTTACTTAAATTATGTTTATTTATGTATGTCTTCAAACGTGAGCTTTACTTAATCTGGATATACCAAGGGTAATGACAAAACTGTTGCCCATGAAACTGGAATTTTTGGTTTTGTTTTGGTTCTTTTTATTATCTCTTCATGAAATTATTGTGAGAATATTACGTGTAGTTTCTTCTTGAAAGATAAAGTTTATATTTCTCATAACTTTAGTAATCTATAAAGAGTCTTAGAAATAGTATTGATTAGTCAAAGTTATGAACACCAAGAATAAACCATTGTAACAATCATTTCATGAAAAGAGGTAACTATTGTCGTAAGAGAGGTAGCTACGACTGACTATTGGGGTGAATAAGAACATAATTAGAAACATTGACATCATTGATTCCCCGAATGATGTAGACGCTTTCAAAATTCCTCCATTTATTAATAAATAAAACAATGAGGAGTGTCTCCTTTATAACTTGAAAGATATAATATTGGAAATATAACACTTCTCTCTTTATCCATCACATACAAGGAGGTCTCGTCAAACATGATCGTGGTATAGTGATTCATTCACTGTCTTGACTCTCAATCTAAGGTAGGGTTCGAATCCCAGCCCGGAACGAACTTCCTTTGCCCCTCTGCCTCCACCCAGGTGTAAATGGGTACATTATTAGTGGGTAATGCAGTATTGCAGGAAGTGTCCTCATGAAGAACAGCATTGATACTGGTGATGCTTCCCTGAGTTGACGAAATCAATATTACTACACAAGGCATTAATTTCTCTTGCAAGGAATGAATCTATATATTTAACCACTCTCCACTCATGTGTAAATGGGTATAGTGGTTCATTCACATGACTTTCAATCGACGGTTACGGGTTCGAATCCCAGCCCGGTACTTAGTACATTCTTTGGCAAGACGTTAATCCATATTTGCCGCTCCCCATGCAACCAGGTATAAATGGGCAATTTTTTTTTTTAATGGCAATGTCTGGAGTAATAATAATTGCAGACAGGGCCCTCGGGGAAAACAACATTGATGCTCATAAAGCTTATTTGTGTAAACGAAATCAATGATATTTCTACAAGGCATTAAATTCTCTAAGCTATATAGTCATTTACAGAAAAGTGCAAGGAAAACTTGTTATAGACATGATAATACAATCGTATTGCATCAACAAGTAACTAAGCAACGATGAGTGGAAATCATAACTCTTATATGGGCGGGTGGTCGTATGAGATAAGTTAGAATTCAGTTTGGAATTTAATATTTTGGCTTTTCCCAGGGGCGAAAGGGGGCACTTACTATACCCCCCCCCCCCCCTCCATTCATTCTTAATGGATAATTATCTTGATACCATCCAGATCAAATTACGATCTCCATTACCAATGTATGGGAGGCCAAATAAGTTTGTAGGCGAAGACATGGTAGACAGCTCTCGACCTAGACCAACTCGCAATCTCCCCCTGATGAACATCCCTAATTTTGTATGTGACTAAGCATTTTTGAATGGTAGATGGCGCAGTTGCGTTTGTCGAAGAAATAGATTCAATCATGCATAGGATGCCCTCCGAATTTCCTAATGGCTGGACGAATGCAGAAGCGGAGTTGAAATCTGGGACAGTCCATCGGCCTCCGAAATTCACAAGAAAAGCCCACTGGCGTAGCCAAGGAGATGGGGTGTGGGTGGCTGCGGAATTGGATACATGCCCCCACACACTTCCAGTGCCTGCAAAGCAACTTCTGGTGCCCCTACAAAGAATTGAAAAAAAAGCAAAATGAGAAAAAGAAAATAATTTCATATTACAGTGTATTTGATAACACCGATAAGATCTGTGTTATCCATCCAAATATCAAGTTTTGATAACTCAAAATGCAATTTTCGCTCGGTCAGTATGCTCCCAGTAGAATGCTCAACGGAGGCATATGATTTAACGTGCTTCACCACTTAACACACACAAACACAAACAAATTCCAGCCCCCCCCCCCTTGAGAAAAAAAATCATGTAAAATCACGTGATTTTTACCCTTTTGGGGGGTTGGGCCTCCCCCCCCCCCTGGCGGCTCAAGGGGGGGGGGGGGGGTGCAAATCGAAATTTTTTTGAGGATCAAAAAAAAAATGTGCTCACTAACCCCCCCCCCCCCCCCCCCCCCCCCCCCCCCCCCCCCCCCCCCCCCACTGAGCGAATTTTTGGCAGGCGCGTTTTTCAAATTTTCGGGAGCAAAAAAAAAAAAGTTGGGCCCCCCTCCCCTAAGAAATCCTGGATCCGCGCCTGCCTGATGTGCTCCCCACTGAAAAAAATCCTCCAAACACCGTTGGCCGGAAGAAAAGCCAATGCTCACCCGACAAATAAAGAAAATAAATTAACATATCAGTCTCACTTTAGAAAGAAAAAGTCCCAAATAAACCTTCTCATAAAGTTTATCGAATACATTAAATATGTATATATATTATTTTATTTATTTATTTTTTTATTTTTATTTATTTTTATTTTTTTTTTGGGGGGGGGGTGGTCTTAGCAGAATAGTGCCGGTCATTTTTATGGACATACCGTGACCTATTAATTTCAAACATTTTGAAGAAAAATAAAGACTTTAGTTTAACGATAATATCTCAATATCCATTCATGATCTGAGGGGGGGGGGGGGGGGGGGGGGAGGGGGCAGGGTGTCACATCATCATTTTAAAAAAATTCAAGTTCGAATTTTTAAAAAAAAAAAATTGTTGATAATCCTAACAAATAGGATCTTTTTCAATTTTTTAAACAAAGGTTTAATAAAAGTAAAAGTTCAACATGTATTTCAAAGAAGTATTTGAGTGTAAGGGGTGTAACTGTCAGAAAAACTAGAAATAACATAAATTTACGTTTAAATATTGAACTTCGATCTAGTTACGATAATGGAGTGGTTTCTTGCCTCTGATACCACGGTATTTCTTCTTTCACTTCTTATCTCTTCTTTCCTCCTCCCCGGGCCTCCTCTTCCTTCTTCCTTTTCCCTTTTTTTTTTGCCGCTTTTTATTTTCCGTTTCATATTATCTTGGCCGTTTCTTTTTACCGGTATCATCTTCATGGTATCTAGTCCAACTGATATTCGCCCCTTACACGTGTCTGATCATTTCATATTGTTTACAGTAGTTTTGTTTCCATTTAAATTTTTTGTTTCTGTTGTCTGAAAGTCTACCTAATTATAAAGCCCATCGTTTTCTTTTTGCGCAATCAAGGGCAGTGTATGGTTTTGAGACTACTACTTTCAGGATGCATTGTTATTGGCGTTTGAATTGAAGACTACCTGAAACTCTATTCCTAGTAAACAGCGTCTCTGACCTGCATGCCCGAAATTTGACTGACGCCAAAAGAGCGGCTTTTCTTCAGGTAAATTTCTTATTTTCTAACCTTTCAGAAGGTCTCATTTACATCATTATGTATCCTTGAAATATGGAGTATTACTTTATGAGAAAATTTGAATCTGATGGTATTGAATAAGCGTTGTTTTTTGTAATCGCAACAGGTGTGTTGAGATGGGGAAGATGAATGCTTACTTGCAAAACCTAATCTGCATGCTGTTGTTTGTGTGCGGAGACTGCGCTTGGCGCTCCGCGTGAAGCTGTGAAGAATGAGTGGTTCAGTTCAGTCCCACATAATCGTATTTTTGTTAGTAAAAGTTATTGTATTCAATTTTTATTTTTTATATATTAAATTTTGAGGAATAACGTTCTGCATCTGGCCATTGATTAGCCATATAAAAACATAAACTGCAGGCCAAATGTTAATTTTTAGTTGAATCTGGTTTGACTTTTTCCTTTGGCTTTGTGTCACTCACTCGTCATGCTCATGTTGTGACGCGACTCAGAGGAGACCCTATTGAGTTGACATTTGAACTGAGCCTCGACTCATTGAGGTTAATTTTGTGAAGAAATTGAAATTCAAACCTTAATTACTCGTGATCCTGAAGATGAAACTCAATAAATGTGGTGTCATATGAAAGAGCAGGTTTTTCTCCATATTCTCCATAGGGGGCCACCCCAAGAATTCAAAAAATATCTTGGTCAAAACAGCGATTGAAATGTTGTTTGCATCCTAGCTCCAAAATTTGCCACTTTCCTGAGCCGCGCCCCCGGGGCTTAAGTAGAGCTAGACGTAAGGATGATATCCAGGTGCTTTTTTTTCGCTACCCCCAAGGGATCATTTGGCCTAACAGTTTGAAAATACCCTTCCCACATTTTTGGAATCAGCTTATTAGGGAGGCGTGAGCTCCGCTCAGTCCAAACCATGGTTACATCGCGTAACATCTGCGCATATAGTGAATGAAAGTATGGATAGCCGTCGCACCATAAACCCCGGAAGTGAATACACGTTATAGTCAATGGCACTATCGCGGAGACAACGTGGCTCAAGCTGCAAGTTGCGCATGACATGCGTACGCTATGCATACGCTTGCATATCGGGCGTTACAGCTGTTTGGCTAAATTTAGAAAAACAACATAACTCTGCGTGTATGTCTTTTTTGTGGATTCTGAGCAAAATCCTATGAATATTGCAGCATTTCGAAGGGGCTGTATCTTTTGATAGAAACATCAGTGAGACTTGAAATTTGAAATGTATTATTCTGACTACATTTTTAATTCAAATATCAAACAAAAATGGTGAAAAACGATCCCAAATTGAAAATTGTATATTGTTCAGACACCCAACTAAAAATTGTACATGTAAAATTGTCCTTACTCTTATTTTTCATTCGACAGCTGATAAATGATGCGCACAGGTGCATTATGTGCATTCTCAAAACTTAAAAACCGTACCTCGCAAACGCACTGTCCCGGAACACGGATAGTCCATGGTGGGAAGCTAGTAGCGGGCTGGCAGTTTGCCAACGAGGCTAATGTGCTCATCGCAGATTTGCTGCGCGCAAATTTTATGGGACTCAAAAAGTTCACGGTGGAAAGGTACCAGGCTAGCTTTTTGCCAAAATAACGCTAGACCGGGTGCTGGCAAAATGAAAGTAACTACATGTACGACAGAGAACATCGTACATGTACAGTAGGTGTTCTTAACTTTTCAATAAGACGTTCTAAATTCTAATTAAGACTACATGTATAAAATAAATTAAACCAACAAACAAACATCGGTAGATCTCTAATAACTATACAAATGCTTGTTTATTTCTTCATTTGACATTTTGTTTTCTCAATCCATTTGTTCATGCGCGAGTCAATGCAATCTATGTATGACCTAACTTTTAACACGCAAGGAACGGGAAGCACTCGCGGACCTCGTATCAATTTCTTTGCCCCCCAAAAAATTGTTTTTGAAGCAGTGATGAAAATTGGCACTGCAATGCGTAGGATAAACACTTAATTTTCAGAAAATCGTATTTGTATAACTGTAAGTAGGCGTGGGTATTTTACACCCCAGATTCTTGGTAGATTTGCTGGAAAAAATCTTAATTTTTTTCAGTTTGGTGGTCATTTCTAGGCTAATATTAAAAAAGTTGAAATCTTACATGAAGGAAATGAAACATATTTACCTATCATTTAAATTCATGTTTCTTGCATCTCATCTAGATCGGTGCTAAATTTGGACAAAATGAGTAAATTCTCGGGAGTCGGTAGGGGGCTGTTTATGCAGCCCAACTCTACTGATCCTGAAGTCGGGAGAGCTTCATCACCTACAAACAAGGACCTGTTGTCCCCAGGTCCACCAAAACTTGTCTCGTATGAAGAAGATGATGATGCTACTGGGGAGGACAAGGACAGTTCTGAACATTTTGCTTTGCCTGAGGAATCTACGGAAGACAGCTGTGCAGGAGATGGGGTTACAGAGGAAGCAGCTAAAGAGCTTCCGCAAAGTTCAGAATGTGAACCTCCTCCAGACCAGAACTCAAATATGATAGATGATGCTGTTGAATCCAGAGAACCTGAAGTAGCAGACAAACCGGAAGCACATGTAGTAGACAAACCAGAAGATGCTCAAGCACCCCCATTGGAAGACCACACCAGTACCAGTGTGGATAATGATATCTGCGAGAGTGAACCTTCTGCTTCGCCAAATCAGGACAAAGCTCCAGAATGTGATGAGAATGTCCCTTCTGCTGTAGTGCCTCTCCTGGAAACAAATGAATCTATGATTGCAGATGCTGATGCTACTGAGGAGAAGGCAGAGGATGACAATGGTAGTAACATTGAGGGAACAAACGAGTCACCAGATGATCCAGCTCGGGTCACGAGTATTGAAGGAGAGACAGCCGAGCCAAAGTCTGATGAAGATGCAAAAGACAATGAGAACGAGTCAGCCACAATTGAAAGTGAATCTACTGAGACAAAAGCTAGTGCTGAGATGCCTGAGAAACCAAGTAAGTTACTCATTGGGCACTTTGTTGTTTTAGAAAATGTTTTTCATATGATTCAAGATTTTTTTGTTAAAGATTTGTTTGGTTTAATTTGCAAGTCAGGGTTTTTATGAACTTTTTACCATACATCTACTGTAGTGCTTTGCATATAAAACACATTAACCATGGACATGTATTAGCAGAGTTACTTATACACTGTAGATGGAAAATGTCATCTTGTTATTGCATGAATAGCAGTCAAACTTCCTGCCGCAGCATTGTCTTCAATACTGATTCAAACTGGGGAATCCCCAATATCATGTACATGTGTAGGATATGTCGCAATAACCCTAACATAAGATGCATACAAAGTGACAGATGTGACATCGAATACATTGCTGTCTGGGTTGTTTTCACATACCGGTAGTTAAAAGTTTGAATCAAAGGCACTTTGAAGAGGACGGGGATTATGTGTTGATAGTAGTGTTTTCAATGTGTTCATTGACATTGCAAGCTGCATGTCTTCTGTAGATATTCTTTCTAAATTGTTTACAGCACAAGCTTTGCATTTATATGTCACCTTACTTTGGAAAAGAAAATTAAGAAGGGAGGTATACTGTACATTACATGTACAGTATACATGTAAGTAATGTAACTGTAAGCCATGTACATGTACATTATTTGCCCACCATGTATTTTCCCGCCCCCCCCCCCTCCCCCCACTTAATGTTATTTATGGTACGCGTATGCTCGTTCCGTCCCTTTGAATTGAAAGCACCCCCCCTATCTCAGGACTGCCAACATTTCTGAACCCCCCTTTAGTGGGCTTTTCCTGCCTTGAAAAATTCCTGTTTCGCAATAATTGATTTTAAACTGTGTTCTAGGCCTGAGTCGGTACGGTCGGTCACACCGGATCCTGACCGTCCCGGTTTCGTTTTTTGGAAACCGACGCTCCGAAAAAAGAAAAAAAATGTGTAAGAAATTGCAGTTTTGGACACCACTAACATTAATCCACCTTAAAACTTAAGTATTTAATTTTTACCAATCATATTCTAGCTCATCCTGAATCAATCCGAACTGCTGATATAAATATGGGTTGCAAAGCAGTTCGCTGCATGGGGTTGCTAGCTACTGTACTGGCCGGGTCTCTCGGCAGGATGAATGAAACATTAATGTTCAAATAATAAAACGGCTTTCTAAAAAATACTTCTTTACAACATACCGATCTAATAATTTTTACAAGACAAAATAAATATTTTTCTTTTATTTTGAACACCGCATGTTTCTTTTAAAAGCTGAAAATTACTTGGTAATCACAACAAGTTTTGAAACTGATAGCTGTTGCAAGGCAAGCTCGATCAGACTAGTAGTCACAGAAAGGATGCACTGTGCACTTCATGAGCTGTAATGGTGCCAAAACGAACCCAACAGATATACGTAATCGTAACAAGAAAAAAATCACTAAAAACTACGAGAGCACAATTGGAAAGACAACTACTCAAAATTACCGCAAGCAGATACATAACTTGGAGGAAGAATACAATAGTTGTCCAAGAAAAGCCACAGAAATAGCAATATTTAAGGAGTTACTATAGTGTACAATTATTATCGAAATGGGCCTGCTACGATGTCCGTGTATAATTACGTGTTTAAATTGAGCACGAGGCTAGAAACAATATACCGCCCTCTACGGTAAAAGCAGTATAACAATATCTGCAACAGGCCCCTTTCGATAAAAATTTACCCAGTTACTCCTCGATTATCACAATTTCTGTGGCATTTCTTGGACGACTGTTGAATTCTTTGTCCAAGTTATGTATCCGATTATGGTAATTTTGAGCAGTAGTTGTCTTTCCAATTGTGCTCTCGTACAGTAGTTTTCAATGATTTCTTGTTACGATCGCGTATTTTTGTTTGAGTTCGTTTTGGCACGCATTACAGTTAACGAGGTGCACTGCGCATTTTTTCTGTGACTAGTCTGAACTTGCCTTGCAACAGCTATCAGTATCTAAACTTGTTGTGATTACCAAGTAATTTTCCGCTTTAAAAAAAGCATGCAGTGTTTAAAATAAGATATAAATATTTAATTTGTCTTTAAAAAATTAATCGGTCGGTATGTTGTAAAGAAGAATTTTTTAGAAAGCCGTTTTATAATTCTAACATTCATATTTTTTGACCCGATTCATTCAACCTTCATGAATCAAAATGGCGGCTCGAATGTTGTCTTTCTATTTTTTGCCCCAGTTTTTACAACTTTTAAAGGCATGATAATGGCACTAAACATAGCAAAACATGGATGAAAATAATGTCAAATGGGAGAATATACCGATCTGAGCCGAGCTATGCATGTGTTGATTTATTTGATTGATAAAAAGGTCACTTTTAAGGGACATACTGATGATATGCGCTTTTTATAGAGGCAAGTGACAAATCCTGCGAGCTGATTTCGGGACACCGGGTCCCGATCGGTGCGAGGCCGTCGGGACCCGGTTTATAAAAGTTCTGACATGACTCGGGCCTACTGTGTTCTATCCATATATGTTCTAAATATTTAGTAAACATAAAATTCTTGACCCAAAGAAAGTTTCTCCAACAATGTGACTCAATTTTTTTAGAGTAAATCTAAAAGAAAATATAATTTTTCTTTTTACCATTATCTTCTGCTAGAAATCCAGATTGCAGCAAACTTAAACTCAGGATCTCCCACGACGATGAGTCCGACTACCAGCCCAGACATCCCCCTTCTCCCTTCTCCGATGAAGGTACCCGGCGCTGGTATCCTGGGGCCAGCTCCAAATGCCCCTCTTCTGCCTAGGGGCCCTCCTTCCATGTTTCCCAAGGCCCTCCCCATCTCCATCCCGCCACCCCCAATGGACTTTCGGCTACCCCCGCCAAAAGTTGTGCCAAAGACGAAAGAGGAGCTGCTGCAAATGCTGACTGAGCAGGTTGGGATTATCCAGCCACCCGATGAGAAAGGGTCCACGGATCAGGGGCGAGGAAAGACAGCCTCATCAGGTAAGAAAGGGAAAGAAGCTTGCTATACTACCTTATTATAATCCTCCTCCTCCCCCCCCCTCCTCCTCCTCCTCTTCCTCCTCTTCCTCCTCTTCCTCCTCTTCCTCCTCTTCCTCCTCCTCTTCCTCCTCCTCTTCCTCCTCCTCCTTCTCCTTCTCCTCCTCCTCCTCCTCATCATCATCATCATCATCATCATCATCATCTTCAACATTATCATCATCTTGATCATTATTATCATAGTCATCATCATCATCATCATAATCATAATGATGTTCAGTATTTTTACTGGGCCAACTCCACATGAATAATATGCTCAAGACGTGAAAGAGCAGTAGAAAAATTGAAAAAACAAGGGATTAAGCATACAAACATTTATGGTCACAGAGGACTTTCGGCTGCTCCCCCCAAAAGTTGTGCCAAGTACAGAAGAAGAGCTGCTGCAGATTCTGACTGAGCAGTTAGGAATTATCCAGCCACCTAATCAGAAAGGGTCCACAGATCAGGGGCGAGGAAAGACAGCCTCGTCAGGTAAGAAAGGAAAAGAAACCTGCTGTGCTATGTAATGATAATCGTCATCATTCTCCTCCTCCTCCTCCTCCTCCTCCTCCTCCTCATCAACATCACCACCATCGTTAACATTATCATCATCCTCATCATCGTTAACATCATCATCATCTTTATCATTATCATAATCATCATCATTATAATCATAATGATATTCAGTATTTTTACTGGGCCAACTCCACATGAATAATCTCCCACATGAGCAGTAGAAACATGAACAAACAAGGGATTGAGCATACAAACAGCAACTGTACATGAAAATATCAATTCAACTGTGTCCAAAAAAAGGAACAACGTGAGGTGTGATGGGTAGGTCGTAGAGCACATGAAGTCTTTTATAGACGAAAGACTTCATGCATGGCTGATTGTCATCGAAACCGAGTTGAGTCTTTTGTCAATTCTGCATGTTGCTACGGCAAGCAGCCAGCGAAAACAAATTGGTTTGATAAAATTATGGAAATGAAAGCACTACTTTAAACAAACAGAACTTTGTCATTCCTTGCTCATTTTTCCTGATTGAGGTGTCATATGAAAGGGCAGAAACTCAACTTTCTAAAATTGTGAGTTTCTTTTCGAAATTCAGATACCGATCAGATTCAGATCATTTTAATCACTCATGCGTGAAATATGCATTATATGAGTTGCATCAAATGAAAGAGGAGGATCTAAGCTTTCCAAATATGTGTCATGTATTGATTATAAATGTGACTAAGTTATGATAAAAGATTGATAATTCTTGGTTTCTTTTTTTCTGGGACGCACTGTATATTTCATTCCTGTTAATGTGTTTTTCTAAAAGAGGTCTGTACTTTCCATTATCTGTTTCTGCCATGACACTTTCAGATGATCAAAACCCCAAGCAACAACCAAAGAAACAACAGTATCCTCAGAGGCAGCAGCAACAGCAGCAGCAGCAGCCAGGCCAACAATGGCAGAACTCTGGTAGAGATAACAACTGGAGACAGAAGACAGATCCTAATATGAGGATGCCACAACAAGGCATGCCAAACATGCAAAACAGGTAGGTCACACATTTTGGTGAGAAAACAATATGCTTCTAATCGCATTTGATCTAGAAAAGAAAAATATGAAACAATTTTAACTTACAGGGTGTAGTTCATATTTTTATGGAGTGCCAAGTGACGACCTTTCTGTTGTGTACAAATTTATGTAATTATGAATGTTAAAAGGCTCATTGAATCATCAATCGTTTAGTAGTTATGAAGAAAAAAAAGAATAGTGTATCTTGTTACATCATTTATATGTATAGGCGACAGATATATTTACACTGGGAACTATATTTGTAGACTTAAATGAAATTCCAGCTTTCCAGGTACATGAATTTCAAATACGAAACAAAATTCTACAAGTCACATAAGGTCATGTTACTTTTTAACTGTAGGTCTGATTTTCACAAAGCTGCGTTAATTTAACCGTTGAGTAGCATTTCCGACTTCTTCCCAAAATGTTCTGTAATCGGGAGTCTTAAAGCTCCCCCCTCCCCCCTCCCCCTTCTCATCGCAGTACATGTAAATGTTAATTCTATCCTATCTTTTGAAAAAGTACATTTTCAGTCATATTCTGAGACTGTGGTTAAAATAGCTTTCACATCACTTAACAAAATTACTACAGTGTTAGAATGAATATAAGTTTCTTCATTATTTTCCTATTTTTGACTTGTTTTTATGATTACAGACAACCTAATACTACAGGAAAGAAACCCAGCCCACAAGGTGGAACAAAGTCAGGCTTTTCTAACCTAACCAAAGATGAGCTGGAGAAAGAGTACCAGTGGCAAAAGTTCAGTGTGGAGAGGAAAATAAAAAAGGTAGGAATTCTGCTCCTGGGGTTTGTCAGGCCCCTTCTTTTGCGACATTGCAATGATCAGATATTGTGTGAGATGGAATGCTGATACAGGTGAAATATGATATTGTACATTGGAACTTTTTGTAGGAGGTCATTAAAGCGATACTAAGCTCATGAACTTTGTGCTTTAGCGTTCTGTTTATTGCACAGCGCCATCTCATGGTCAACTTGCCAACAGTGCATCATCCAATACCTAAGTTCCACTGCGCAGACAGAGGACTAAATGCAAGAACCCGTAGCACAGCTGGGAAGCAGATGACCTGAAATGATGCTAACCGGGAATTTCGCGGATGAGAAACCTAAAAGCCAGTTGTAAAACGGGTTGAATGCAACAAAACGTGAAATACGCTGCAGAACGTTTCAGGCAATCCGTAGCCGCCAGGAACATAATGTCAACTTAGCATTAGAGTGGTGGCTGATCACTGACATATATACTTGAATATTAATGCAATGTTTTTCATTTTTCAATTCCAGAGTCTGAAATCGATGAAGACGAGTTCTGATGAGGAGGTTATAAAGGAACTGCTTACCATCATTAAATATAGTGAGTTCTTTTGTAATTTGTGCTTGTTGGCACATTTGTTAGATGTTCGCTGCCACAATTTGTATTATGGATGCAAAGCGCAGTGCTAAAGTTTAATTGTACTTATCCATTTTCAGCCTCATTAACTTAATAATAGTATGAGATATGGAGGTATCGTGGTCTAGTGAATCGTATAGTTCGCGGTTGAGTCCCACCTTGGCAGTAATCAGTGTCCTTTGGCAAGACATTAATCTACATTTTCTCCCCCCCCCCCCCCCAAGGTGAGGTAAATGGATACCTGGCTGGAATTAATTCCTTGAAATACGATAATGGCAGCCATACTAAAGCCAGGAAAAAATTGTGAAGCGCCAGGAGCTTCAAGTTTGATAGACTTGGGCACTATGCAAGAACCCACTATTATCATTATTAAAATTTGATTTGATTAGGCTTGAATGGGAAATGGTTTAGCTAAATCTATAATGAAGTCAAAAAGATAGTTGTTTTATTTGCGTGGCACAGAAATAATTAAGAATGAAAACGACTAAACCGAATTTGAAAATTTGGGATGCTGTTGTGATTAAAAGTGGTGGGTGAGAGGGCTTGTTACTTAAAAATGCAGTTGAAAAGAGGGGTTTTCCCCCCTTTTTTTTGTAGTTGTGTGTTTTAATTGAATCAATACAGAATCACATTGTTTACAAATAATGTGAGTGTCTTTTAAATCTCAAGAGTATCACAATACATAAAATAAGATAAATAAATATCAGAACGTCAATGGTAACATGGTAATTTAAGATAAATATACCAGGAATCCAGGCAGCCCAGTTGACAAGAGTTTCATTTTGCTGTTTTGCTTCAGATCCGTCCAAACTGGCCAACTTTCCGTGGCCCAAGGAACAGTATGTTGTCTTGGAGAAGCTAATAGAACATGCCATTTTGAACGTAGACAATGAGGAATCACTTCAGAAGAGGGTTGCTACAATCATCAATTCATTGCAAGGTAAGAAATATTACATTAATAATGGGAGATATACTAAGATAGAGAAAACCTGAATGACGGGGGCATCATTTTCGACTGCGCACAGTCGAAGTTCCATCTAGTTTCAAATTGGCAACAATATTATTTGTCTTGAATGCTTCATTCTTATATATACCAAAAATATACATGAGTAGCAATTTTGTTGAAAAGTTGGGGGAAAATGGCAAAATTTGATTGAAAAACAAAGATTTTGAACTTCTCAACGTTTTGTAAATGTAAGGATTTCAAAAGCTAATTTTTGTATTTGAAATTCCTGGGGTCAAATACAATGTGGTCATGCAACAAAAGTGGACAGAATATGGGCAGAACTTTGTGCCTTTTCTTTTCATGCATCTGGTATATATTATTGGGGCGGGGGGGGGGGGCTCTGAATATAAAATTACTGAGCCACACTACAGAAAATGGAATGCTTGTCCCAATGGTTGAAAAGATCATTGTCTGCTGTAAGAGACAAGGTTGAATTCTGGTTAATGTGAAGAAAAAAATTGTGACTTTTGTCATTATGTCAGTTTGGAAGAATTATCCCAGTAGAAAAGTCCCCTAAAAATGAAGTTGTGTGACTATTGCTCAAATTTGTCTTTAGTTCTTCAGTGATAAAGGTATAAAAAGGTAACGATGTGATATCCCTTCTTTGTAGATATGCATCCACAAGGATTCAAGGAAGATCTGAAGAATGCCATACTGCATGAGCAAGGAGAGTATATTCAGGTAAGTGTAAGGGACTTCACTTGTAAGTCAGATTACATTGGAAAGCATGTTTTTACATTGCATTTTATTCTTATTTTAGTGCCTTGCTGCCAGTTCACAATTCAAATTCAATACAACTACATAATTTACTAAGTGCCTGGTTTCTTTATTTTTCCCTTTCCTGTTTATCTTTTCCTTATTTTTTTTTCTTCTTCTTTTGCATGGAGGCATGTTTGGGGGGATGGTCAGCCTTTTGGGCTTATTTTCTCTATCTTGTCTAACTGTCAATAGATAGTATTCATTCTTCTTGTAAGTTGTAAATTGCAGGCCATACGTGGGACAACATGTGCATTTGACCCGGGTTTTTTTAGGTGAAAAATGTATAATTAAAACATTGTCCTTTTAAATTGTGAACACCATATTGTATGGAGACAGTTTGGACGATAATAACAGTATTTACACTGAAATTAGGTCAAATAATGCTCTATCTTGTATTGTTATCTGTTGTATTGCTTTATTGTTTCATCATTTTACCTTATTTTGTACTCTTGATGGATTTATACCATTATTCTGTCATGAATATATTCTGTTTTGTATATTTTATTGAAATTTAATAAAAATTTAATGGAATTAAATTGAATTCATGTATTTACAGATTGACGTTATGTTTCTTTTACAATATTACATTCCATTGAGATATTTTATATTTGTTTTTGTATGCATGTCACTGCAAGTATTTGATATCCGTATATCTTATTTTCTTGAACCGTTGTAGGGAAGTAGCAGTGAGTTTAGGAGAAATCAAGCCAGGTCAGCGGGTCATTTCTTAGGGGAGCTCTACAACCTCTCCAGGGCGTCGAGCACAGAGTTCAAAGCCTCTGTCCAGTCTGTAGTTGCCCTCACCCTCAAAGATTGGATCAAGGCCCCAAATGTGGTACGAAAATAAACATTTTTTTAACTAGTCTTATACTAGTTATGACACAGTTAAGACACATTAATTCAAAATTTCTTTCGCTGATTAATTAACTCTGTTCACTTTGATGTGTATTCCATATCTATTGTAATTTGTAGGTTTATTTGCACTTTTTTGTTTTGTTTAATATGTAATTGTTTATCAGTCTATTTTGTTTGTTATAGCGCCTAGAGACTTCAGTCGTAAGCGCTTTATAAGTAACGTTTTTATGCCTCCGTTACGAAGTAGCCGGAGGCATTATGTTTTCGGGTTGTCCGTCCGTCCGTACGTCCGTACGTACGTACGTACGTACGTCTGTACGTACGTACGTCCCGTTCTCGTGATCGCGTTATCTGAAGAACTGGTTGATGGATTCCTGCCAAACTTTGGTCATGTATGTATCTTGTAGAGCCGATGAACTGATTAGATTTTGGGGTTACGAGGTCAAAGGTCACAGGGCTCATTATGTATGCAAAACGAGCTCGTGATCGCGTTATCTGAAGAACTGGTTGATGGATTCCTGCCAAACTTTGGTCATGTATGTATCTTGTAGAGCCGATGAACTGATTAGATTTTGGGGTCACGAGGTCAAAGGTCAAAGGTCACAGGGCTCATTATGTATGCAAAACGAGCTCGTGATCGCATTATCTGAAGAACCGATTGATGGATTGCTGCCAAACTTAGGTCATGTATGTTACTTGCAAAGCCAAAAAACTGATTAGATTTTGAGGTCACGAGGTCAAAGGTCAAAGGCCACAGGGCTCATTATGTATGCAAAACGAGCTTGTGATCGCGTTATCTGAAGAACCGATTGATGGATTGCTGCCAAACTTAGGTCATGTATGTTACTTGCAGAGCCGATGAACTGATTAGATGTAGGGGTCACAAGGTCAAAGTTCAAAGATCACAGGGCACATTATGTATGCAAAAACAGCTCGTGATCGCGTTATCTCAAGAACCGATTGATGGATTCCTGCCAACTTAGGTCATGTATGTTTCTTGCAGAGCCAATGAACTGAGTAGATTCTTGGTTCATAAGGTCAAAGGTCATGGGCTCATTATGTATGCAAAAATAGCTTGTAATCACAATATTCTGAAAACCTGTTAATGGATTACAATTGAACTTGAATTTGAAAAATTTCTTCTGTTTTGGTTTGTAAAATTGCTCTATGACGGAGGCATCATTTTCGACTGCGCGCAGTCGAAGTTCCATCTAGTTATTATTATTATAATGATGTCGGGTAGATACCTCTTTTGTACTTCAGTGCATGCTCCAGTGACAGTCTCTGTGGTCTCTTTCCTAAATCTTTCAAGGGCACAATTCAATCTTGAACCAAACACTATGCCTAACCCTAAACCTAACCTATGATAACCCAAACCCTGTTCTTATTTCTTTGATGAAATAAAGCCTATAGCAAATGTAGGGGTTTCTCAAAGATTACAAAGTATTGAAAAGAATAGATGGGCTAAAGAGTTTAATAATAATAGATATGGTGGGTTCTTGTATAGCGCTCATGTCACTCTAGCATTACAAGGAATTCATTTCTGCCAGGTACCCATTTACCTCACCTAATGTCTTGCCAAAGGACATGGACCCAAAACTATGTGATCCACAGATTGGAGACATAGCCACCAGACCACCGACACCTCCACTCTTAAAGGGACTTGGTAACATTGTTCAGATGAGAGAAAATGGTGCTAACAAAGTGACTTCAATGCTAGATGGTACAATTAAAGATAATCTGAAAGTTTGAGTGAAAACAGACCATTATTAATGATAAAAATTGGGAAAAAATTATCTGATCGATCCCTGAATTCTCCAAACGATATTATCACAATTTAATTACATTTTAGGTGAATGTCAATCGTCACAAAGCAATGAATTGACTCTATATACCATTCCAGACATTTAAGTGTTAAAACATTTTTTAAAGCCTGTCTCATGTCTTATTTTCTTTGAAAAATGGTCGGTAAAACTCAAAAATGGTTGGGAAAATTTAATTTTAGAGGTAGTCACACAGTGACGCCTTCAAAGAAAATCATAAATATCTTTGTGGTTTGAGAATTTTTTCAGTATGTTTTGCATGTTAGAAGGTCAGTACAGTAGAAGGAATATAATAGGTAACATTTCATACAAAACCTACACAGTTTTTTCATCATTGCTCAACAATGTTATCGAGTCACTTTTAAAGAGAAGGTTGAGTTGGTGAAAAATAATTTGTGAGCATTACTCATTCTTATTATGCAAGTGTGGAAGAACATCAGTTAAGACATGTTCCCTGAAAAGCATGGCTCTTCAAATGCCTTCATATTCTAAATATGCATGTAACATCGTAAAAATCGGGGGCCGGTTTTTTACGCCACGTGTTCATGTAGTCCCATATACATCTTTCTGTGCAAGTGTTTGTAACTTTACCAAGACTTGGCCAAATTTCTTATCATTTTGATGATTCCAGAACCTTGCAATACACACAAATTCTTATATGTAGGATAATCAACCTTTTCTGGTCGGTTCCACACCGTTTCTTTCACAATGCAATCGCATGACCAGAACTCAACTTCATCTTTAATAATGTTTGAAAGCATTTTTCCATGTTTGTTCAATTACAGGCGGCCATCAGTGAAGATAGCAAACTTCTTCTGGAGGTATACGCTCAGTGCTTGGAGGAGTTTTTGGTCCTGAACCTGAGGGATAATGATGAGCACCTCAAGAAACAGGTCGTAACGTTGCTGAAGGAAGAGATTCTTAGTACTACAAGACCAATGTAAGTCAACGGCCCTGTAATATAAAGCTTAGCAATCAATTGTGCAATTGATTGATTGTACAATTGATTCAATGATAGCACGATAGGTTTTGGTGTTCAATTGATTGATTGATTGATGGCACAATGAATTGATTGTACAATTGATTGATTGATGGCACAATGAATTGATTGTACAATTGATTGATTGATTGCACAATTGATTGATGGCACAATTGATTGATTGTACAATTGATTGATTGATTGCACAATTGATTGATTGATTGATGGCACAATTGATTGATTGATTGATGGCACAATGGATTAATTGTACAATTGATTGATTGATTGATTGATGGCACAATGAATTGTTTGATTGATTGCACTATTGATTGATGGCACAATTGATTGATTGATTGATGGCACAATGGATTAATTGTACAATTGATTGATTGATTGCACAATTGATTGATTGATTGATTGCACAACTGATTGATTGATAGTAAACTTGATTGTAAAATTGATTGAATGATCGTACAAGACATTTTTTTCTACCATGCCTACCTTACATAAAAGTTCCCATCTAAAAAGTGATAACCAACGGCTAAAAGTAATATTCTATGGCTGAGATGCCCTTATGCATATCTCCGGCGTGTACAAAATTGAAGGAGCAATGAAATGCATGCAGTTTCAAATAGCAAGGACATCGATTCGAGCACTGAGACGTGCATTATGCTGTTTGGCTGCGCTTATATACTGTGTCCTTTAATGCAAATGATGTCTCCCATGACTGCAATTCTTGGAATTTTGAACCATTTATTTTATTATTTATCGACTCTATTATAGTATTAATGACTGCTTTGAGAGAAATAGTTGTTTTATTACGCTCAAGGGAAGGTTAGAATTGTGCTATTCCCCGAGGCTTGCCGAGGGGAATAGCCCAATTGTAACCTTCCCGAGAGCGTATGAAAACAACTATTTCTCGAATATTAAAGCAGTCATTAATACTTTTATATGCCAAAAAAAAATAGACTAAAAAATAAAAAATAAAAAATAATTTACATTTTTGTCGAAGACGGGATTCGAACTCTTGCGTACAACAAGAGGTGTACGAAAAACCAACGCTTTGACCACTCGGCTATCGCGCGCCGTTAACATGCTTGGCAGTTTTCTCCAATATATACATTAAAATGGATTGAAAACGGCTCCGCGTGAGGGATGCTTCGCAAAAGCTCCATGAAACGGACCCTTCTTTTACTTTTGCAATGCATATTGGCACGAACTTAGATCAAGATCTATCGGCAGATGTTGTTTTTTTTGTTTTTGAGAGTTAATTTTCGTCTTCATGTCAACAATGCAAGATAAAATTGTCGGTAAGATCGATCGAGATTCAATTGTATTGAAATTGCCGACCAATTTTTCGCACACGTATGGTATCCTCCATCGCTCAAACCATTTTTTAACATGTAAACCTATGGGGTAACCATGGAGACTGACCTATTTTTTTAATAACCATGGTTATTAAAAATATTGAAATGTTTTAAGCATGGTTACCGGGAATTTTACAGGAACAGTTGAAGTTTATGAATGCAATTCGACCAATCAGATGGCTGGATTTCATAAGTGAGGTATATAAATATGTATATTGTAGACCTGTTTATAAAACAAATGATTCATGTTTTGAAGCTCTTGCACTCGTTGAAGTAAAAATGAGCCGGATTATGAACTTAACAAGTTTCATTCAATATCCGATTGTGACTTTACTTGCATTGAGTCCATATTCACTAATAGTTGCTCAAACACAAATAGATTTATGCATTTGGCTTGATGTGAAACCTCTCTTCTTGACTATTGCAGTGAAGCCAAGACTCTCCTGCTTGATACACTGTTCAAGCTTGCCTGCCATAGTTGTACTTCAAGGGTACCAGCTGAAGCTCAGAAGAATCAACAGGGCCTAGACAATAGAGAAACCAAGATATGTAAGTATAGAAATGGGTTTTCAGTATGAACTTTCCTATGGATTTAAGCTATTTTAAATAGATGGTTTCTGTAATATGCCACCTATGTGCATGAGCAGAAAAAGGTCATCTGTACAGCAAAAACCAAAATTTAAAAAAAAATTGAGGCTCATGCTGGACACATGTTCATGAAAGTTATGCACTCATTATTTGTTTATGCACTGATGGTACAATCTATGGAACACAGGCAGAAGTAACCTTCTCAAGAGGGCAAACAAAAGGTATTCATTCAAAAGCACATCCATGAATTTGACAGTGACTATATTTAGAATGCACAAAGGGGGACTTCTACATGTTTGAAAGATCTATGGATATTTGGGGGTCATTTGTACGTGTGGTATCTTGAAGGGGGTCTATTGTGATACATGTGTCAGGATAGCAATTATGGAAGACTTGCTTATGATTTGTTATCACATCCAATAATATGTATGTTGAAAATGTCATTGCTTTTTAAAGATCAAGATGGTTAGGCGGTCTTCTATTCTTGCATGTAAATACAAATCTAAACAAAACTATCAATGTTTTTAACAGTATGTTTCTAGTCCTATTGTCAAATCTATGGCCTCACCTGTAGGGCACCTTAAAGGTCTTTCCAAATTGTATATAATGCTCATCTTGTTATAGCTTCGATTTTTGTGAATCAAATTCCTTGTTATTGGCCAATGAAGAGTTTGACTTAATCAGTGCATAACTTTGAAAGAGAATTTGAGTAGTGCAAAGGTTCTAAATTACACATTCTCATGTTACAAATAATAGGGAAATAACTTTGGGAATTGTATATGAGCAGTATTTAGCCGTGTCCAGAGTGAAAGTGCCTGTGTAATACATTGCTATGTTTTGTCTTCTTGTTTCAGATTCTGGTTCATCAGAGCCCTCTCCTGGTAAAACAATGTCTTATAATCCTCAACAACCAAAGACACAACCTATAACCCCACAGAAACCAAACAATCAACACGATGTTAAACAGTCTCCACAGCAGCATCAACAAAGGAAACAGCAGCAACATCCACCATTGTCAGGGTCAAAGTTCACGTCTCCCCCGCCGTCAGGGTTGTCACAGGTTCAAGGGAGGTTCCAACCTGGGCAACATCCGATGAACTTCCCGCAGGGCGGTCCTGTAAACATGAGTACCCCACCTCCGAACATGAATGCTCCACCTCCAACCATGAGTCAATCAGGACATAATATACCTCGGTGGCCAGCTGCATCTCAGGGTCCTCCTCCAATGCCAAGCTCGATTCCAGCTGCATCCACGAGTACGGGAGTGGTTCTTCTGAATCAATTGCAGCAGCAGATACAACAGCAGCAGCAACTAGGGTATATGAACCAGAGTATACCTGCATCGATGCAGACACCTCAGGGACCTGTTCCTATCCCTCAGGCTCAGATTCCCCAAGGTGGGAGCCAGAGACATTCACATGGTCTTGGTGCTTCTATCCAGATGCTTCAGCAAGGTGCATTTCCAGACCCCCAAGGTATGCCTTCTCAACAAGTTCTAGGGAACATGGTTCCTCAAGCACCTAGTATTCCTCCATCACAAGCCTCCGGTATGTCCTCTATGATGCAATCTAATAGCCAAACAAATCCTCATATAATGTCAGGTGTGCCTGGACAGCAGATGATGCAGTCTGGTAATGTCCAAATGATGCAGTACAGCTCAGCCGGAACCACTCCAGGACACCCTGTCCAAAGTTCTTCTCAATTCCTTCGCAACCTACCAATGTCTGTAGCACCGCAGATGAGTACCTCTATGAACTATCAGCAGCAGGAAGATTTTGCCAACCAAATGGGACAAATGATGTTATCGGGTTCTGATCCCTGGCATCAATCAGGGGTAGGGGTTACCCAGGCTGTAACAGCACCCATTTTTTCAACAGCTCAAGGCATGAACCCTTCTGGACAAAGGCAAGAGATGCTGTCTGCTCCACCAGGCAACCCTGAGGTACAGTCATCCCAAGAAGATATGTCAGGTCAGCCGTCTTTCGCCCAATCTGCAGCGAGTGGAAGATTTGTCCAGAATAGAATACCTGAAGCAGCACCTAAGCAAAGTTTCCAAAACAGCGATGATGCAATGCATGGTGTTAGCCAGTGGGGTGTGTCTCCTCAAGGTTCTGCCTGGCCTGACAAACTTCCAGACTCCAACCAATTACCCACCACGTCTCCTCCATCCTTTACCTCGCAAAATCAGAACCCTAATCAGTGGTCTGCTGATGGTCGCAACGTAAAGTCACCGGAAGCAGTGAGTGACACACCTTCTCAAGAGCCTTCAGCTTCAGGGTGGGGAGATGCTAACCAAGGACCGCAAGAATCATCCCAACAAAGGTTAGGAACGGATGGATGGGGATCTTCTAATCCAAGTCCAGGTGTGGGTAACTGGGGTGCAGAACCTCAGCCAACTGATAGTTGGAATGGCCATGCAACATCCTTTCCTGGACATCAGACAGGCGCAGTGCAACACAATTCTGCAGAGCATCCAGACATGGGTCCTCGAGGCTTCCAGAATCAACCAAGAATGCCAAATCAAGCAAATGCTGTAAAGGCTCCCCCAAAAGACAAATATGTATTTGAAGAGAGTGCTAGTTCTGTGAGTGGATACCAGAGGCCAAATGTGTACACTCTCCCTTCAAAGCACAAAGAAGGTTCTCCTGCAGCAGAGGGCGTATCCTACAATGCCATGTCAGAACTTGGAAGCTACGGTATCGGTCCTGGCAACAGCTATGAAACCTCGTCATATGGAGGTGCATACACGGCCATAAGGGACGGAGGAGGCTATGGAGATTCTTTTCCGCCAGAAGGTCAGAAAGTGGGAAACTTTGTCTTGCTACCTGAGAACACACCACCCCAGAACTCTGCCTCCCCTGACCACTTTGAAATCAGTGCCATCAGAGATTGCTTCATGGATGAGGAGGAGATCTCGAGTTACGAAATGAACGCTTATCAGAATCAGATGAGGTTTCGGCAGCAGCATGGCCAGCCTAACTGGTCGCAGTTTGAGACGCAGAAGGAGAAGCATGTCCCCAGTGCCTTACATGGAAGGTCCCCGAGGGATACCAGCCAAAGAGGTCATGGGAGGGGAAGCCTCCTTGTAACCAATCCCTGTACAGCCATGCCTCCGTTCCCTCCTGCCCACCCACCAGGCAGCAGGCAACCACCAATCAAGCAGAAATACCAACCAAGGAACTAACTCTGCAGTTACTCTCCAAAAACATTTTTAGTTAGTGTTCTTTTGCAGCTGCTTGACTCCTCCTCGCTATACCAATATTCTGTTCCTCTATTATTTGTAAGTATCATGTGCTCTTCAGAAAAGGTGTTCCGATAGTGAGGAGAATGGAGCATGATCTGTAACTGTCGTTTCCATGGAGAAAATGTGTGCCTTTGTGGATGACAATATGTGGCCATGAGAGCTACATGTGTCATTGGGTATTGGATGCTTTAAACTCAGAGGAAAATCATTGAAATGTTTGGAAATCATTTTATATTGAGTGAATGCAGTAAGTAGTTCATCATTAGAGATGAAATTTAGGTACATGATTTTAAGAATGATATAATGGTATAACATTTGGTGGACCAGAAGTTAAAATCAAGGTCAGCCAATTCTAACTTGATGTCGAAAAGGGTAACAAATGCATATTTCTTCCTCAAGCTGTGATTTGGCTTCTTTTTTTTCTTCTTTATTTTTTGAGTGTGATGTGGTTGCCATAGTTTTGTAGGGTGTAGTAGTAGTAATAGGAGTTGCCTATCAAAGGAAATTTGATCATGTTAGGCTGTGTAAACAAAAAATTGCCAAATATGTACTCTATCACATCATATTCAATACACGTAGTGAAAAATGCCAATGTGAGCTGCATAGAACTTTCATATTCATAGTCAGCACATGGTCACCTGCAGTTTGACCTTCCTATAAACCAAATGGGATGTTGATTTACCCATGATGACATAAGTGAAAGAGCTATAGGGGTTGCCAATTTGAGCTATTGTATTAATGTCATGCCATCTGTGGTTTCAGGTCCTAGCCCAATGGGATATTGGTGTACCCTCGGGATCACAGACAATAATAGGAGTTGCCAATTTGAGGTTAATATGATCATTCACATTCGTCATCCACATGACTATGGTTTGACCTTCCTCGCTGAACAAGGAGAAATAAGTGAAGGCCTTAGTTCACTGGGGAAAGTTTTGATTTATTTATCTTGCTATTTAGGGCTTATCGTTGAACAAATAAACTTGGTGCTGACGGAAATATGCCTCATGCTGTTCAGGGATATTAGATTACATGGGAATAATTAGCTGCTGTCAACTAGTGCTGGAGAAAACTTGAAACTCGATCCTGTAATGGTGATGTTGCAAACCATCTTGGAAAGTCCTTATTGGCAAAGAACGTACAAATCTCAGGTATTAAAGATTTTTTGAAAGAAGGCAGTCTCACCTAGAGAGAAGTTTTATGTTGACTCTCTGACGCAAGATGCAGCTATCCGTATCAGTAATACTGAAGGTTGATAAAGAATGATCAAGGAAGTTAACAATCCAACTTTCAATTCCTTTCCAAGTTCCATAAATTGCTGTACAGGGTTAGATCTTTGTTTCCTGAATTCCCAGGCTTTCGGTAATGGTAATTAGGTCGCTATAGTCATCAATGGAATTATAGATAGGAGAAATGCATAGGAGAAAGGTGATATCTTTAAAGTTGTTTGGGTATCCAGAGGTCATCACTGTGATGTTTCTCCAAAGAGTGGTCAGAATGGAAATAGCTACCTATTAGTGCAGAAGTTACCGAGAGGTAGTAGAAAAGACTCGGTGTAGTCAGCTGGTAAGCTGGAAAAACTACAAGTATGTTATCTTGTGCCTAGTTTAGGTACAGGAAAGTTGACAAAAGTTTCCTGTCTGAAGACAGCATCAGGTTGTTGCTGTAGCCTGAGTCAGAAGTTTTTAAGGTCTTGCAGTTTATCTTTCGTTTGATTTAAGTTCTGTACATCCACAATCCAGAGAAACTTTCTTATAATATATTACTACAATGAGAGATGTAATGCGTTTCCACAACGACCCAGCGAACCATTACAACATTCCAATAACTATATAAATAAATGTATTTTCAAAGATTCCTAACAAAAACTCGTCATTACAGATACATACAACATGAACCCTTCCTTGATTGTGACTATCTGTGTGATGTTTACCATTCGTGCATAGAACTATCGCAAACGTCCAGATTCCATAGATACAATTGAATCGTTTGGTTGCAAGATGAGATGTTTTGAGGCGAAAGATGACGAATGCTCTGTCCGCTGTCTTTGAAAGAGAAAACTCCATGACTGACCTTGATTTCCTCTCATTGACATCCATGATAAATGTGATGATCATTAGCACAATATTTCCATAATTAGATGGTATACCCGAATGATGACCCATATGCCTTGAATCGCATACAAGCACTCTGTAAGAATGATTGACTCGTGCAGCTAACGAGGAGGATGGCCTTGTATGCACTAATGGCTTGGGATGATGAGAGTTGGTGGGTTATACCAGGTACTTTAATTGCAGTGTTATGTCAAATGGTTAATGATCGTTGATTGTCATTCACATAGAGAGCTTCATGGCTGTAGATGGAGGGTAAAATGTCTGGGTAGAGGTGATGGTGCATAATTTGAAAAGTGTTCACTTAGATTTGAGAATTGTTTGGAGTGCAGCTCAAATTCTTTGTAAGATCGAAACCCATCTTGACCTTTCCATCAACATGTCTTGCTAGGCTAGTATAGTGGCATTACTTCTGTGATGGAGCTGTTGCCATGATGGTTAATTCCTGGAAAGGAGGTCATCTCCTGGGGTTCTGGGGTGCTTTTCCTAATTGTTCTTCATGCATAGAGGGTGATTTTGATTGCCATTCAGTCAACAGGGGTGAAGTGTCATGTCTGCATAAACTAGGGGCCCATTTTCAGTGGTGTTCAAGAGTTTTGTTGGGATGTTATCAAGAGGGGTGCTTTTGCTCTCCCTCTGCTCCTCCCCAACTCCCACCATGTCCAACTAGCACAGCTCTCTTTGCCACACAATGAATTCATGGAAAGGAGGTCATTTCCTGGGGTTCTGGGGTGATATTCCTACTGGTTCTTGATGCATGAATGGTGATTTTGATTGCCTTTCAGTCAACAAGGGTGAAGCATGTCCGCAGAAACTAGTGGCCCATTTTCATTGGTGTTCAAGAGGTTTGTTAGAATGTTATCAAGAGGAGTGCTTCTGCTCTCCCTTTGCTCCTCCACAGCTTTCACCATGTCCAACTAGCACAGCTCTCTTTGCCACCCAAACCCAACTCATAACCTAGGATGTGTGATCTGTAATTATAGAGGATTGTCAGGATTCTCCTAGGGTTACCCTTTGGTCTCTTGCTCTTCCACCAGAGTATGTGGTACAAGTAATGTAGCCTCTGCAGTAAGCCACCAAGTGCCATCTTGGAGGGTTTGTGTGCCGAGGATATTTGTAGTGCTGTTGCAATCATAGTGGAAGCTCGCTGCTTGAACTCATAAGATGGTAGTAGTTTAAAGCTGTCTATTAGTGGCTGTAAGGAGGAATCGTACTGACTTACATGGAGGGTCTAGTATGGAATAAAGCTGTAACTGTAATCCCTCTCTGATCACAAAGAAGATCCAACAGATTAGGATTTTAAAAACATGGGGTGTCGTAGCACATGGATGGTGAAAGCTCGCTACTTGAATTTATAAGATGGCAGTATTGTAAAGCTACCTATAAGTGACTGTACAGAGGAATCGTACTGACTTACATTGAGGGTAAAGTATGGAATAAAGCTGTTACTGTAATCCCTCTCTGTGCTGTCAGTGTTGAAGGTCAAACAGATTTTGTCAGGCTGTCTTACTGTAGTTGGTATTGGGGAAGTTCTCTCCTACGATTTATTACAGAACTTGAAGGAGGGGCAAGTGGGCAGTTTGCCCCTCCAGACAGATTTGTAACCAAGAAAAAGAAATGCACACACGCTAGTAGTAAGCAGGTTAGAAATCATTGTAAGTCAATCAACGCACAAACTGCACATGTAGACATATTTTCAAGAATCACCATTTCTTCCTCAAATAAGTCATTTTGGGTGATGCCCCCTCCCCCCACCTCCTGCAACACATTCCAGGGCCATCTTTACTAAAAGTTTATGGAGCACAGCAAGTCAATTATGCTTTGCCCCTCCTGTGGCCAAAGCCTGGACACAGCACTGATAAGCTCTCAAGGGTCAGGTCAGGTCAGGTCATGGAGTTCCCATTAGTTCACTTCTACATACAATCACTATAGGAGGAAACTGTTTTGGTGCTCCATGTTTTTGTCCTAGGAACAAGTGCATCTGATCTTCCAGTGATTGAATAGTGCTAGAGCTCCCTCATAGTTCAAGATTATGTAGGAATGATATTTCCTGCTTCACTTTATGAATGGATAGATAGTCTTGGGCTCATGTCAAGATCTTGAGTGCATACATCTTCAGGAAATCCTTCTACTTCATATAATAAGGCTATCTTTTAAAGATGATTTAGATTTCTGGGACATGTCATGATGCAAAAAATCTTTTTTTTAAAAATATAAATCATCCAAATTTGCAATGAATGTTACAAAGCTCACAGGAACGATGCGTAAAAAGTAACTAAGGCTGTGTAATATGCAAATTGATTTGAGAGCATCCCCAATGATACTGAATTTTAAAAAAAGACCTTGCACCACACATGAACATTTGTGTTAGTCTGACATAACCCCATAATCATTTTGAATTTTAGTTTCTAAATAATCAATTAAAAAAAAAATTTTAAATAATTTTTTGAATACTGTTTGTGTTTAAATGAAATGCGGTTTCATTACTAGAATCAGTGTTACCTTTAAACCTGTGAGTCAATAGCTTTGGCTTATAGTACCTGTAAACAAACTTGACATTGCCCACACTGTGTCAATGTCTCCTGAGGCACTAGCCCTGGGGTTGCTCAGAAACGCCCCTCCCCAACCCCCGAACGACCTCAATAAATCCCCACCAAACCACCACCACATCCTAGGCCTACCACTTTCCATTATGTTCATTTTCCTGCCTTTCCTAGTGTGGGCGTTCATGTGAATCTTGATTTACGATTAGTGGTAGAGTAAGGTTTCCTTTGGTTATGTTGCTAAATCTTAATTTCAAGGGTCAGAGGTCGAAGGCTCCCATGTTGGTAAAGGCATTGAGTCTGAATAATGTGCTATAGCATTCAAAAGATTAACCACATGACCCAGGTCGTATGCTCCCATGTTGGTAAAGGCATTGAGCATGAATAATGTGCCATAGCATTCAAAAGATCAACCACATGACACATTAACATTTGGGATTGTTGCCTAAATAAAGGAAAGTACCAAAAACCAGTCTGCCTAAAGGAAAGTTGCATAAACCAGTTTGCGTGCGGCTGCGAATGAATGATTGAGGGTACTCGGCTCTCCGCAGGCTTGTGGTCGCATTAAGTGTCATAAGCACAGAGTGTTATTCGCATCAGATCCTCTTGTGTTTTCCCCTCACTTAGAGTAATTACATTATCATTTTAAGGGGTTATTGATTCGTGTATCATTGTGTTAGCTGTGTTTGTATGGCTCATCTATCACCTTCGGGCACTGCCAATAATGATGCCTGTCGTCTGTCAAGCGTTAGACTGGTGTTAAAGGGAACCAAAACCTTCATACTAAGTTACTTTTATTGTAAATTCTAAGATATTTGAATAAAATCAGTGAAAATTTGAACAAAATCAGGCAAGGAATGAGTAAGTTAAAGCTTTTTGAAATGACTAGTCACTAGAGGGCGATATTCAACTTGATGCATCATTTGTGGACATGTCTCCTTGCCTTTTGTACTTCAAATTTCATGTTTTTCCTTCTTTCTTGTGATTGAGATAATCTACTCCCCTGAAGGCAAGGTATAGAATGCAAAATGATATTCTACTTCATGAAGTCAGATCAAGAACACAAATATATACGAAGAAAACGAAAGAATTGTGAAATTTGAAGTACAAAAGGCATGGAAAGTTGTCCAAAAATGATGCATTAAATTGAATATCGCCCTCTAGTGACTAGTCATTTAAAAAAGCTTTAACTTCATTATTCCTTGCCCTATTTTGTTCAAATTTTCACTGATTTTATTCAAATATCTTAAACTTTACAATAAAAGTAACTTAGTGTAAAAGTTTTGGTTCCCTTTAACCACTTCTTATATCCATGCTTTAACTTATACTTATTTGCTCTAACGCATAGTTAATGCCCTCCTGGCACCCATCAGATGTTGTACTTGTTTTTATTCTTTGCCAACTGACTTGCAGCTGAATTATCTATCCATAAGTAGATGTAGTACATTTGTATATGACATGAGTGTGATCTTATGTAGAGACATTGAACCCAGTATGCTCTGAGAATTCTTTTCCTTGAAACGCAGTTTAAAAAAAAATATTCTGTCAGCCGTAGTGTATAAATCAAGTACGGCTTAGTTTCCAAGAACTCTGTCTTTATTTACTTCACCACTGTTGACACAAAATATGATGGGATCAATTTCTAGGTTTGATTTTATACACACTAGCTGTACATGAATATTTTTAAGGTGATTGCTTTTGCTTCATTCCAATTTTTGCCTTCCCAGATTTTGTTTATTGTTGCTTTATTTCAGATCAAATTCTCCCCCAAGTTGTGTTCCGAAAGTGTGCACCAGTCTTCATGGGTTGTAGCTTTGTTGGAGCATCCCTAAGTGTTATTCATTGCAACAAATAACTGGCTTTCAAATACAAATATAAACAAAAAAAACAGTAATAGTAAACACAACAAAAACTATACACTGTATATAAAGGTTGTGAGATACTGTACATTTGAATAAAAAAGGGCACTAGATGTATGTGGCCTTTACAATTAATGCAATTTCTTGTGTTCAGCTTTTTAATTTTCCTCAGATGGTAAGAAAATATGAGGGAGCCTAAGAAAAGAAATCTAGAGAAACTACAACTGTGTGAATCCTAAACAAGGGTGTACAGCAGAAAACAACAACAATAACAAACAAACAAACACTCAGGAATGGGGCAGGGGGGGTGGGTCTGGAATGAGAAATACAGAGCAGAGCTGAAATGATGAATTGCAAAACAACTCTCCTGTGCTGGTCTCGTTAAAGACAATGCACTTTAAGGTCATGGACAAATACATACTCTTGTCCATGTATTGATCATTAGCTCGAGGCCAGGGCCAAATACATAAAAAGCGCTACCCGTAAAAATATCAGCAACTACACTTTTGTATGTGTTGTTAGTCATCACTTATCAGTTATTATGTTTTCTAATAACTTCTCTCTCGGTGCATCCATACATCAAAAGTTTGTTGAATGTTTGTCCTTTTTGTGTTAGCTTTTTACAATTGTAATGCTTTAGTTATGCAACCTTTATTCTCAATAGATTTTGAATTCATTTATATTCAGATTATGACTGTCTTTACTTTCTATATTTACTTGAAATACTGAATTTGTTTCCTCCTACTTCCTAAGATTTGATGACCTTAATCTTACCAGCTGTACTTGTATGAGAATGAGAATCTGGATGAACCTACATATTCATATTTCATAAAATGTAGTTAGTTGTTTATTTATTTGAGGCAGTAATAGTCTATAAGTCCTTCATCTGTAAAGTAACTTGATTTTTTTAAAATTTGTTTTAGTTATAACATTCAGCGGGTAGGCCTATCCCTATTTTTATTGAAAATATTGTTTTCACAAAGAGGCCCTGAGAGTTATGCTTTTCTTGTATAATAAATGTACTTATTACATCTGTATACAGCCACACACACACACTGTATATTTAGTTCATTTATTTTGCTTTGAGGTAGGAGACAAAGTAAGAAATTATTAAAAGCTGACTCGATATATGAAAGATCTATCGTTCATATTTAAAAGAAAATCGATGTTTAAATATAAGGGTTTTTTAATCAGTGGTGTAAGAAATTCAAATTAACCTGTTAATTAACTTCTTCAAATTAGATAAATTCATCATGAATATTGATTATATCTTAAATCTTTTTCATAGGACATTTTGTGAGTGCTGGGTCGTTAAGTATTCACGCCATGAAACTTATGACGCCAAGTTACGATAAAATACCCTTTAAATGTAAATCACATCTGCATGTATATGTATATGTGCGTATACACTGACTGTCCAGAGCCAGAGGGGCGTTATTTCTTTGTTACATCATCAATGCCCTTCTGGCTCCAAACAGACGGCATGTATAAACATGAAGTTGCCGGAAATATGATTGTGGTTAAAAGTTTTTTAACGTTTTTGATGAAGACTTCAGGACTGACATTTTTTTTCCTATGGTGGTATGCTAATAAGGGTATATTCTTAGATCAAAAAGTGGGAGGGGTCTGCCATTGTTATGTATGACCGGTAGTATGTAACTTGTTTAGAGAAGGCATAAGATGTGTAAAGTTTATTATGAGTTTTTGTGTGAATTATTCTTTACTTTAGTTCTGTCTGTGTCTGAGCGATTTGGTTTTTCTCTTCTTCCCGTTTCTCTTCTACGTTTTGAATATTTATTGTTGTTGTTTTCAAAGTATGAAAATGTATGATGTGTTTTTTAATTTATATTTGCATGTATTTGATGTTTCCTTCATTCTTACTTCCACTTTCTCTGGCTCTCACATTCGTGATACCCTCTATTGTCTCTTCCTCTGGATCTCTATATTTCTGTCTCTCATTGCACCCCCCCCCCCCCCTCTCTCTCTCTCTCTCTCTCTCTCTCTCTCTCTCTGTACCTCATTTTTCTCTTTCTCTATCCCTTTTCCGCTTTCATCTATCTTTCTCTCCCTCTCTAATTCTCTTCTATGCCATGTGTCTCCCATGTTTTCTTCTATAATCACTCTTTACCCTGCCACTTGTATCTGTTGTTTTCTTCTCTCTCCAAAGACCTTTCTTTTTGAGGTGGAACATGTATCCCATTTCTCTGTTCCAAGTCATTGAATTATATTTACATCTGTTGTGCATTCAAATCTTTTCGATTTTCTTTCTAGTATGTGTGTTTTTCTAACACCAACGTTTCCATCGGTAAGCGCTTGGAAACCTCATCACAAATATTAGATACGTAAAGTACTTTTGCTTTTGTAACAACCATTTGTATATTTACTACTTGTATAAATATTTACCTGATAATTTGTTTTGTTGTAGCGTTCAATTTCACCGTTATGAGATACAGTGTGTGTTCATTGGTTTATTGATGATTATGCATTTTTTGTATGTCTTTTTTTATTAAAAGAAAAGCATTCCAAAACAAAGACGATTAATCAGACTCTTCAAGTTTTGTCATTGGTGTGGAGATTGTAAATTGTGTTCGCAATGCAACTTTCCCTGAGCAAAAGAACCGTGTAGGAGCAAGGAGTGTTATTTTGAAAAGTGGGAGAAGAAAAAGAGGAAGCAAGTAAGAGAAAGCAACAGCAAAAAATACATTTGAGCAGAAGAATCATGTACGAGCAAGGAATGCACGATTCTAGAACACGATGTTTTCAGTGTAAATAACACGCTCATTCCATCATTTGAAATGCGCAACTCGTTTACCTTTCCGTCGGGAAATATCGCAACTCGTTATTTTCCAATATATGTATTCATGAAGGAAAACGTGATTCTATAACATACCAGGATCAGGGGAAGCATAACAGACCCTCCCCCCTCCCCCCCCCCCCCCCCCCCGCTTGAGAAAACAAACATACTTCGTGCCCTGTATAATTTCTTTATGTAGTTTATTTGGATTTGTACCATTATTTAATAAAAGTTTCATTCGTTTCAGAATTTAGAAACAGGATCATGGTTAATATTTTGGCAAGAGGCGTCAGCCCCCTTCCCACGCGAAAAAGTGCACTGTGTACAATAATTTAAGAGAGCCAGATTGATGCAAAACTAAGATTCTGTGATGAATTGGGGATTGGGGTGACGAGACACTTTTCATGGGTGCCGTGACTAAAAAAAAAGTTGATTAAGGCCTTTGTACTTATTTGTCAACAGCGAAATGAAGTTGCTGATAAATGATAGTAAGGAGAGAAGTGGAATGTTATCTCTTTCGGCACTATTGGATGTTATAGTATTGGATGCAGTGGTGTATCCTGGATTAAATTATGCAAAGGGCACTTTTTGGGGGGCGCCCCTGATTAATATTTAGTAAATGAAATGTCAACGAAGAGATCCGTCGAGTGTGGTGAGGTGGTGGAAGTGTTGCTATGCCCCTCTCCCTTTTTCACCCTTTCTTTCTTCCCCACGCCCCCCCCCCCCTTTTTTCTCTCTCTCTCTCTCTCTCTCTCTCTCT